GATTTACTGGAACAGTCTTCCATTTCTTTTTCTTCCTAGTATTTTTATTCTAAAATGGAAAAGAGTGGGGGAAAGAATGAATTATTTTATAGCATTGTCTTCATCATACTTTGCAACATTGAGCAATGCTCATAAACTTTTAAATTCTTGAAGTATTTATGACTTGTAAATAGTGGCACAGTTATGTGGAGTTTGGAAGTAAGCAGTTTTCTTTTCTTTTACTATCACTCAATTCTTTCAATGAAAGATTTCACAGGAGGCTATAGAATTGGTCAAATGCCTGCAAAAAAAAAATAGACAAATACAACAATGGAATCAAATTTGGAATTTCCTTTTAAGTTTGAGGAAAATATACAATGTGTAGCTAAGAACATGAGGTTGCTGCTTCAGCAACTTTATGGAATTATTCAGGTAAAAATTGACGCACACAGTACTTTGCACTGGAAGGACATTAGAGATCAACTACCCAACACCTCGTTTGGTATGTGAGGAAACTGAGCCTGTGAGGATTTAAGTAATTTGCCTGAGGTCATTCAGCTAGCTGGTAGCAGAGGAGGAACAAAAACAAAGGTCTTAGATTTCCAGTAAACTGCTCTGTTAATTCATTTCTACATGACTGCTTATTGCATTCAAGACACCTAGTGTAAGCCAAAGTCAGGTACGGAATGTTGAAAATGGCACAATTTCTTTGTACTCCACATCTAGGGCCAAAACAAGAGAAAAATAAAACAAGAGGGACAGAAAAATAAAAGATGTGGCTGCTGAGCAGAGATACTGAACGAATGACAAGTTCTCACCAGTCTCCTTCCATCCTCATCCCTAAAGGCTCTGGGTCAGCATGGAAAGATTACTGGACTGGATCAAACAATATCCGTCTAGGTGCCACTTTTCCCTAAATGTGTAGCCTTGAGCACTTTTCTGTGCCACTCTGGACCTCAGTTTTATCATCTGGTCAAAACTTAAGATATTTCTCCAAGGACTCATTTTCCTTTATGTCATTAAGCAGTTAAAATTTTCCTTTCCTTTCCTTTTTCTTTCCTTTTGTCCAGGCAATAAGCCCACCTTAAAGAAATTCCTGCAGTTTCTCTTTAAAAGAAGAAAATATTTTAATGGGTGCCTAATAACAAGAGCTCTTAGTATGGTTATAACTGTACTATGAGTATTTTGGTGTTTTAGAGTAATATAATATGCTGAGAAAGAACAACTACCTCTGGCTATAAAGTTATTGAATATTAATTTTAAATTTTACATATTTTCTTTCACAGAACTTGATTTCCCTCTGTCAAGTCTTAGGACAGAAAGAGCTTTTAATAAGTAATGTGAATGTTACTAAATACATCCCCCAAAGATTCATCTTTATATATCCAGGTTCTTCCCTTTCCAAAAACCTGAAATTTCACTCTTCAGGTAGACAATAAAACTTCCACAGTTAGTAAAATAAAGAAGAGACTAGGAGAAGAAAAGCTGGCTAGGGAAAATTTTTCTAACAGAATGTCATCTAAGTCTAATGGTTTACTTCTAGTAGCCTTTGGTTTTTTCTTTTTCTCTTCTTTATCTTCTTTTTTTAGGCCTTTTGAGTTCTAATGCTTCAAATGAATTCATGTTAATGATTTGTATACAACATGGGGATTAGGAGTCTGCACTGGCTGTCTTATGGGTGCATATTGTGTTGGGAATGGACTGCATGACATAATGTTTTGTATCATCAGGATCTCCTCTCACCATTATTACTGTTGTTACTGATAACAATTATCACCATCATATAATATTTTATAAAGTACATATCTGATAATAAATTAGTCACCTATATAGCCTTTTCAGAATATTCATATATGTTATTTATCTCCATTTAGCAAATGAGACAAACAATGCTCAGAAGAATTAGGAGGTTTATTCAGTCTTACAGCTAGTATATAGTAAAATCAGAATGGAACAACCCCAATTCAAGAACTTATTTCTGTTATCTGTACCTCAAGATGGAAAGCATCATTTCATGGGGGCACAAGGGTTTTACATCTTCATACCAGGTGTGGGTCTATCAGGAGTTCTAAATGTGTACTCAAGAAGTACACTTAGGTAGTATCTTGAAATAGGCATCTGTACTCCTTATGTAGAAATTCTGACATCATTTCACATTTGCAAAAAGGGTCATTCTATAAGGTAACAGCATTCTTTCACACTGACCCTTCACATCACGGAAAATGTTTCTTTTTATTTACTTCTCTAGCAATGAATGAGATTGACAAACAGTTACCATTTATTTTGAAAAAAGTAGGGCTTAATAAGTGGAATAACAAAGTATTTTTAAGCCTGTCTTACAAATATTTGAAGCTACATTAATAGCAGAAGTTTACCACTTAGGGCAGTGCAAACAAAATCTAAAAAGATACCATTGCACTTTGTACTACAGCAATTACACCAGTAGGAATGGCAAATACGGCATTCACTAACAAAGCCTACTTAAAATGTTCAAATATTACAAATTAGAACATGATCAGTGATCATTATATAAATTGGTGTTGGGGAAACCAGACAAACCCTTAACCCTTTCCTTGTTCCTCATAGCAAAACAAATTACAGATAGATCAAAAACTAGATATACAAAGAGAGACTTTAAAAGACTTTTTTGTTTTTTTAAGGCCCAGGCTACTGAGAGGTAACTCCCTTCCGTTCCCTGGGCCAGGCCTGCAACATGCAGGGCCTACACCCACATCCAGCTATGTCACTACTCCCCTCCCAAGAAGATGGCCTTCCTGCCCTCTCCTCAACCCACCCTAGGGCAGGTGGACACTACAGGGTGCCAAGTTCCAGGATGAGAAAGGAAAGTGTTCAAATACCCAATGCTCTTTTTAGAGGAGAGGAAGCAACTTCTGTGAGGAGACACAGCAACTTCTAAGGGAATGGCCTTGGCATCCATTCCAAGCACTGGGCATGGGGTGGCTGTCATCTGGGGCAGATGGCTCTTAAAGGCCTGTGTCCCTTGGGCATATGCATCACAAAAATTAACACAATGGCGGTATCTAACACTTGCTATAACTACTGACCATAGGTTGATGAATGGCCACCATGGGCAGCCAATGGGCAGAGATGACAATAAAGGTAACGTGAAAAAAAAATTAATCAGCTTAAAATGGAGTCACATTTCTTAAACATGACATAAAAGCATCACATGGAGTCATGTGTGCTAAACCTTGCTATATTCAAAACAAATTAGAAAATGGGCAAAGGCCTTGAAAAGAAGTTTTTCTCAAGATGATATACAGATAGCCAAAAAGCATTTGAAATGCTGCTCTATATCACTAATCATCAGAGAATTGCAAATCAAAACCACAATGAGTTAATAATTTCAAATCCACGAGGATAGATAATATAAAAAAAAAAATCCCAGATTATGTGTTGACAAGGATATGAAGAAATTTGAACCCTTGTGCCCCGTTAGTAGGACTGCAAAATGGGTGCCCAATATGGAAAACAGTATGGAGGCTTCTCACAATATTAAAAATAGAACTATCATTGGATCCACTTCTAGTATATATCCCACTTCCTTGTATATATTGAAAGCAGGGTCTTCAAGAGACATTTGTACACACATGTTCATAACAGCACTATTCACAATAACCAAGAGGTAGAAGCAACCCATATGTCCATTGACGGGTGAATGGATAAACAAAATGTGTGTGTGTACACACAATAGAATATCATTCAGCTTTAAAAAGAAAATAAATCCTTTCACAAACTACAACATGAATAGACTTTGAAATTATGCTAAGTGAAATACGTCAGTCACACAAAGACAAATACTGTTTGACTCCACTTATATGAAGTCTTTAGTCAAATTCATAAAAATGAAAAATAGAATGGAGACTACCAGGGGCTGAGGGGAGGAAGAAAGGGGGTGGTTGTTATTTAATAGGTAGAGAGTTTCAGTTTTGCAAGATAAAGTTCTGAAAATTGATTGTATTGCAATGTGAATATATACTTAAGACTAGTGAACTGTATACTTAAAAATGGTTAAGATGAGAAATTTTAGGTTGTTTTTTGTCACAATAAAAAAAATTTAGAGTATTTACATATGACTTTAAAAATCCATAAACAAAATAAAAGAAAAAAATAGACTGAGAAAAATATTTAAAACAGTTAAGCAAAGAGCTAAATAGTAAAAGTTATTAAATAGAGTAATTAATAATAAAATGTTTATAATACCAATTTTTAAATAGAAAAATATATGAATAGGCAGTACCAACAAATAAACAATAAAAACATATCCAACTCACTCATAAAACATAAAATAGTAATAGACATTTTTTACCCATAATAATGATGAAAAATAAAAGATCATATCCATTGATGGTAAGAGTGATAGTGAGAAATAAATAGGGCCTCTTGCACACGGTTCATAGGTATTTAAAATGGTGAAACAACATGAGGCCAATTTACAAATATTTTTTCATATTTAAAATTAATATACCTTTGGACCAATGATTTCACTGACAGAAATGTTTTGTACTGATATACCATCTAGGTTTTATAGTGAGGATTAAATGAAATAATCCCTGAAAATACCTAGCATTGTGCTTAATACTTATCAATTACTTGGTAAGTATTGCCAATGTTTGTTTTATATTTACTTAAACACGCATGATAATTTTGGAAGGCTACACCAGACAGTGTAATAGTCACTCTGGTGAGAGCAAGTGGAAAGCTGAGGGGCGGAGGAAAGGCAGCGGAGGAGTTACACACGATTATATTTTGTTTTACCATAAACAACTACCACATTTATGGTATAAAATTATTGCTGTAATTTTAGTCACTAAGACTCAGATCAAACATTCATTAAAAAATGAGAAAGCACCCACCATTCTTTCAGAACTCATTTTGCCTACAGTTTCCTCTTCCTCTCTTAAGAGACCCCTCTCTATATGCAAAGCATACAAAATAAATAATGTTTCCACATTGTCTTTCTTCCCTTCCTTGACCCACTGTTGACAACATCAATACAGTGCAATTGGACATCCAGTGACCATGCAGCTGTCCACTAAAGGAAGCCTGGTGTTCCTGGCATCTCGCCCCAAGAAGCTCTGTCACCTTTGCTACTCCAGCTGTATGCCTCAAGAGGTATGGTAGTGGTCAGAAAGAATCACCCATATGGGCATGATCTAAACCCATCCTATTTGGGTGGCTTTCTCAGTGTCTCTCACAACAAGGCATACCTTCAAATGATTCAGTGGGCTGAATGGGGGCTCTCAAAAAGATGTCCACACCATAGTCCATGGAACCTGTGAATATTACCTTATTTAGGAAAAGGGTTTTTGCAAATCTACTTAAGTTAAGGATCTTGAGATGAGGAAATCATCCTGGATTATCCAGATGGGCCCTAAATTCAATTACAAGTGCCCTATAAGATACATGCACAGGAGAAGACAGACCCAGAAGAAAAGCCATGTGAAGCTGGAGGTAGAAATTGGAGTGATATGGCTACAAGCCAAGTCAGTAACTACTAGAAGCTAGATGAGGCAAATTCTCCTTCCAGCCTTCAGGGTGAGAACAGCTCTGCCAACACCTTGGTTTTGAACTTCTGGCTTATAGAACTATGAGAGACTAAATTTCTGTTGTTCTAAGTCACTAAGTTTGTGATCATTTGGGATGGTAGCTCTAGGAAATGAATACAGATGCCCTTATCCAGAGTTTCTATTGCACATTGATCCTCACTGTTACATTGCTTCCTCTCATATGTTTCATCATAGTCTTAGCTGTCAACATGCCATCATGGCAGGTATGTATTGTTGAAAAGACATCACTTTGGTGTAGAATGCTTATGGGAAGTAATCCTTTCAGTTAACACTGCCACGGCTGTTATGTGATTGAGCTGAACCATGTTCCACATGTCTGTAATGCTACAACTTGAGATTCATGTACTTGGGTCATAAAGGCTTTCCTGTCTTGTTAAACCTCTATTAAAGTTCAAAATGCCCTAAAAGATATAACTTTCTAGAGTGGAAGCTATGATATTTCAGAGTGTCCTCTATGCTACTAGATCTGAAAAGGGGTGGGGACGGAAAAAGAAAGTGCCCAGAAAACCCCAAATATTATCTCTAAGTACTGAACATATTTCTTAGAATACCCAACCAACTTCTTTAAGACATCATACTATCAGAAAAACAAAGCACAACTAATTATATCCTGTGCTGAATGGTAGACATATCAGAATATAACTTAGAAAGCATATAACATAATTGTTTCACCAGACACCTTCCATTAAAAAACTGGAAGAATTCACCTTTTCCTCATTCTTATTGTGCTTACAGTTTTAAAATGTGCACTTAGTGCTGCCACAGTTTCTCACGAAAAGTGTTTGGGCCATGACAGGGGAGAAGAGTTTTGCCTGGGAGGGTTGGCATATATTTTTCAAAAAGTCTTGAAGGTTGGCAAGACATTAGAAAAATTACAAGGATCAGAATTTGGCACTGAGCTTTATAAACCCAGAAACCAGAATCTCTCAGCCCTTGAAACAAGCCTCTTCTCTCAAGAGTAGAATCATTTTGCATAAGCTGATGGGACTGCTGAACAGAATCCAAATGTCAATTTATTTCCTTTCATTGCGCACTACAATCATTACTCTGATCATCATGCTTCGACCAGCCTGACCCAGTACTTTGTTATACAGGACTCAGAAGAATGATGTATGACAAGAAAGACTATAGTAAAATGATTGCGTTGTAAGCATGGAACCAGGAAAAAAAAAATAGAGAGAGAGACAGACAGAGAGAGAGAGAGACAGACAGAGAGAGAGAGAGACAGAGAGAGAGAAAGAGATAGATGAATAGATCTTTTCATTAGGAAAACAAGACTACCATGACCACAGATGTTACAGAGTATACACAATTCTGACAGGGACAGCTTTTATGCCTATTCGAATTCTGACCAGTTCTACCAACTGATTGACCTGTAAACTCATCTCTTTAAAATGTGTTGCATCTTGGCTCTGATGCATTGTGTAGATATTGTATGTTAATTCACAAGGAAGAATTCTATTTCTCTTATTTTTACATCTTCTCTTTCCCATTGTGCTATATACAGGCAGCATAAAACTCTGGAGTTAATTGTGACCATAATATTAATTCTGAATAAAATTCAGCAGAAGAAACATCATGGCAGAACATTTTTAATAATCCTATATTGCAGCCTACAACTTTTGATCACTTTACAGGGTCAACTTTCATTACTGCTAGGCATGACAGTATCCCAATGGCTATAACAAAAAGCTGATGACCTTAACTTCCCAGGTGGCCCCTATTATAAAGTCTGGCTTTGATGTGTTTAAACAAGCATAAATATAGAACTCATGATGAGGTCTATTAGGATCATAAAATCTTCTGAGAGGAAGCTGTCTAGAGCCACCCTGCTTAAGAGATTTAAAAAACAGACAGATCAAAGCACGTGTCATTGAAAATCCTGCTGGTTGTCATGAGAGAAGGAGTAAAATTGCAAACCCATGCAGTCATATCCATTACTCTAATGACCTGGAACAGACTACGATGATGAAAATGAAGGGTGAGTAGTATGGGGTCATAATAATAGTAGTCAGATGCCATGTGCCACTGATACTGAATTTTTCTTTCTGCAGCAAAGGCAGTTTTATTTTTTCCTAGATAGCTATGATAACAGGTTTTATGTCTGAGTGCCTGGTTTCCTGTCAATAGTCCCACACACATTGGCAATATGCTTATCCCAAACATTCCTTAGGATATTGAGGATGAGGTGATAAACAAGATGGTCAGATGCCAAAAGATTTCATGCTAAGAGTAAAATCTGTATTTCCATTGAATTGCCAAACTGAATTTTGGGCAGGTAAAAAGCAATGCTGTCACATCAAATTGCATCTCATCAGCTCTCACATCTCATGCTTTCTTTAATAAGTATAGTGTTAGAATTATGTGGCTAGGGAAAGAAAAGGCTGGAAATGCCTACATATCTAGCATCCTGAGAGGGAAAGTCTGGAATAATGGGCTTCTCTTTTCAGGATAAGCCACTCTTTAGAAGTTAGAGCTTAGGACAATTTTCTAGAAGAAAAAAGCTTGTGTGATTCTGATTACGATGCTACTCTCCATGGAAACTTCAATGGGCAATGCATTTCTTAGAGTGCTCCCCTTAGAACATATTCCTCTGCAAATTGATGCTATGCCTCTTTTAAATGGGCCACCCTGTATATTACAAATGAATTCTTCCAGTAGAGAACTGTGTTGATGTAAATCTACGTTGGCAAGAGCGTCATCAGAGTCAGCTGGGAGTGACAGGCATGTTCTAGCCAATTCTGGACAGTGTGTTGAAATATGCTTCCCGGGCTACAAGAGCAAATTCACAAAAGCAAGCCACGTCTTTGCAGGGGTGACGTGCTGATCAGCAAAGCCCTGGCTCTGTCAGAACATAAAACACATACCAGAAGCATTTCTTGAGGAGAAGCCAACCAATCAATCACAGCAAGAGCTACATAATCCTTACAGGTTAAAAGGTGCCAGGGCTTGCCCTTTCCCTTAGGGCAAAAAAAAAAAAAAAAGTTTGCACATGTTGCTTGCAGGGCACACTCCTAAGACACAGAAGGTCATATTTCCTAATAACAGCCAGCCAGTTCACACAATATAAATCCACACGCAGGCAATAAGAATCAATAATTCAAACTCCAGAGAGAATTCTATATTCCTTCCATTTCACGGTTGTCCTGTTTACAATTATGATAATGAAAACATTCCTGCATAAATGTTAAAATGTGCCATCATCTCATTATTTTTTTAAAAATACTTTATGCCCACACATAAAACCTACTTATTTAATAAAAGCAAAATCATTGTAATATTATGAGTATAAACTGCTGTGGCAAGTACATAAATATACATTTTTTTCAAAAATATCTTTTCAGTTCTTCAGTATCTAGTATGAATATTATGCTCAAGAACAGGATTTTATATTTGATTCAGGAAAAAAAATGGTAATTTCATGTTAGAAAATGTATCCCAGGGCCATACATCTGAAAACCAGAAATTTCCTAATTGCCTCACCTTTCTGTATTTTCTGTCATAGATCTCATCACCAGAGCATAAATGTATGACAAAGCTGTGGGAAGGACATGGCTTTACCAGACAGAAATGTTGGAGAGGAGACTGCTGGGCAGACCTGGGCAGTCCGGTTCCCATCGCCTCTCTTCTCCATTTCTATAAACACACTGCAAATGAATTACAGTGCCTCGAATGAATGAAAACAAACAGATCCAAGAGATTGGCCAACTCAGCAGAAGAGTTTGTGCTTGTCTGACTACATGGTCTCAGACAAAGTCCTTGTCTTTAACACACAATCGTCACCACAAGAATTCCAAGACTGCCAGGTGGTTGCTCATCACCGGATGGCTCTATAAATCCCCTAACTGAAATCCCCAGCCTTGCCCCAATCCCACAAACTCTCCAGTGTGCCTTCTGGCACTCATATTCTGTCATCAACAAAATCTCCTATATCCTCAGTATTTTCTCTGACTGCTTCCTGAACCTTCTTGTTCTAACACCACTGGCTATCCATTGAGAACACTGGTGTACTTCATTCTTCTGATGTGATGGCCATCATCCCTTCCACAGTTTTGTACCACTGCCCCTAAAGGAGACGTAGCTATCTTTCTTGCTCTTCTCTGCTGCTTCCAGACTATGATCTCTTCTTTTATCTGAAATGTCTTTGAAACTCATGCTATTAGTCTACTTCCCTTCCTGTCGCAGTCTTGTGCAGACCTCCAAGTCACTCCTTCTTCACCCTTGAGGATTTGAGTACTGTGTCTCTCCCGCACAAACTCTGACATAACTCATAATGACCTTAATTTCTTCCCATTGTCTCCCAATGCCTTGATCTTACTTCAGATGATCTTATCTTCAATTCCACCTGGGCCTCCTCACTTTCATTACTACATGTAAGGTCTTGCCATTACCGATAACTGCACCCCATAATCACTGGTAAGCATCTCTCCATACCTTCTTTCTTTCTAGCTCATTCCCTCTAGTATTCCAACTCCAGAATTTTCCAAACTCATGAGTCCTCCAATGAATTGACTTTGTAAGTTTGTGTGAACCCTCACCCACCTTATCTCCTCTTTTCCTTAGGAGGCTTGGAATAAATATGGCATCACAATCACTTCTTTGCATATCCTTTAACTCAGACTTGACTGAAATTTCTCACCTCAGGTAAATCCAATCTTTTTCCAACTCTGCATTTGTGCCTAAGCAGTCAATGACAGCTAAGGAAAAACACAACCATGATGACTTTGAATTTATTACTAGTAGCCTGAGGGGGCACCTTAGTGTAGTCTGGAAATTTTATCTTTCTCTAGACAATGTACTCTCTTTTCCCTGAGATGATTGATCATTTCATACCTTCCCCTCACTCTTCAAACCTCCAATATCTCTTCTCTTTTTATCCTTAAACTGATGAACTAATTATTTTATCACAAAATAAAAGCTATAAAAGAGACCTTTTATACACTGCCACAAACAAATCTACCATGCTTCTGGCTTTCTATAATCCCAGACTCTTCCACTCTTCTTCCTCACTTATAATGAGTGAACAATCAATGCTCCCATTAAGGGTATGGCCGTTGTCGATGCACTGGTGCCCTGGATCCCTGCCTCCCTGCCCACCCAGGACTTCCTCAAGGATATTGCTCCTGCAATTGTCCCCTGCTCATAACCAAATATCCCTCTTTCCACTGGTCCTTCCTCAAAAACACACAAACACATTGTGATATCTACAATTAACACACCTTGAACCATATCCCCCTATAGCTATCATCCCATTTTTCTTGATATCCCCTCTACCCGACTTTACAGCAAAATTTTTATAATTAACTATTGTCTCTACTCCTCCCATCATCTCTTGAATCAACTTGAGGTAGTCATTTTACAAAAAGGCCTTCACCTCCTGATGCTCAGACTTTTGGGTAATTCTCTCTGACACTATACCAGGGTTGGTTTGTGTGAGCAGTAGAATATGGCAAAGTGATGGTGTGTTGCTTCCAAGTCCAGGTCATGAAAGTCATTGTGGCATCTGCCTTGTCCTCTCCTGGATTGCTGACTCTGGTCCACATCATAAAGCCCTTTGGAGAAGCCCACACAGTGAGGAACTAAAATCTTCTGCCAACAGCCGATGTAAAACAAGGCTGCCTGCAGACAGTATCATCTTGGAAACTGATCTTCCCCCAGGCAAGTCTTCAAATGACTATAGCCTTCACTGACAGCTTAACTGCAAACTCTCATAGTAACCTGAGCCAGAACCACCTGGCTAAGCTGTTTTCTGATTCCTGACTCTTGTAAACTGTATGAGATAATAAATTCTTATAGTTTTAAGCTTCTAAGTCTTAGGGAAATGTGTTGTGTTCCACTCCAGACAGTCTTATGTCATCACCACTCTACCATAGCCACGTGTGTGGTAGGCTATCAATGAGCTGCATGTTGTCAATGAAATAAATTCTCAGTCCTCATTTCAGTTGACCTCTGACATAGGTTAACACAGTTTATCACTCTTTTTCTTGAAACAAACACTTTGTTCATTTAGCCTCCAGATAACATTCTCAATTTTTCTTCTACTTCACTGTCCACTCTGCTGGTTTTCCTCATCTTCTTGATTTCTAAATATGAAAGTGCCCCAGCTGTCTCAGGCCTTGTCTCTTATCTACGCCTGCACCCTGGGTGATTGTATCCAGTCCCATGGCTGTTAATACCATTTATATTCCAATAATTCCCAAATGCTCAAATATTGATCTTGAGTACAAATTTCTGCTCCAAACCTTAGGCTTATATATTCAATTATCTAAGTGATATCTCCACTTGGAAATCTAAGAGGCATATCAAATATAAAATGTTTAAAACTAAACTGCTGATCTATCTTCCCTAGATATGCTTCTTCCACAACCTTCCCCAGCTCAGTAAACTGCAACTACATTCTACCCATTGCTAAGATCCAGACTTGGAGTCATTCTCGATTCTTCTTTCTCACTCCTCACATCTAATCCATCAGCAGATTCCGTTGTCTTTGCTTTCAAATGGTAGAAAGGATTGTGACTGTTTTTTACCACATTTATCTCTTCCTCTCTTGTCCACACCACCATTATACCTCACCTGGATTATTCCAACAGTCTCTTAAATGGTCTTTCCCTGTTTCCTCCTTTCCCCACCATCTATATTTTCTATACAGCAGCCTGATGATTCTTCCAGAATTTAAGACAGATTTTATCTCTCCATAAGACAGATACTCCTACTACTAACCCTTTTCACTTCAGTACAGCACAGTCATCACTAAGGAATATCCTAAATCCTTGCTACAGCCTCAAAACACTACGTGATCCTTTCTACAGCTCTGACTTCATTTTCTATAACTTTCCCCTCCCCCTAACATGCCAATCACATACTTCTGCTGGGCCTTTGCACTTGTTATTTCCTCTGCCTAAAATGTTCTTCTCCTGGATAACCATATAGCTTGCTTAGTCATCTCCTTCAGATCTCTATTAATATGCCACTTTATAGTGAGTCCTCCCCCAAAATCTTACATAAAACTCTGTATCCCCTTGCTTTGCTTTATTCTTTTTTTACTTTACTTATCATTTTTTGACTCACTGGAATATTTATTTGCATGTTGTCTTCTCCATAAGAATATATGCTCCATAAGAGCAGGACTTTGTCTATTTTGTTCTGTGCTCTATCTCCAGAAGAGTAATGCTTATACAGTAGACACTCAGAAATTATTTTTTGAATGGATGAAAGGATAATAGGATATTTAGCTCTTGACTCTCACCCTGGTGAGCTAATCATGAAATAGAGAGAACTGCCTTCAGAGCAAGACGGTTTTCTGTATATAGTTCTCCTGAACTGCTAAATGTGTTCTAAGTGTTATATACTCTTGGAGTTTAGTAAAAAGCTAGGCACAGTCCTCACATAAATAATGCTTCTGTTCTATGCATCAGAACAAGGGCCACTAGTAGAATTAGCACATCTGATTTGAATGGAAATACAATTGTGTATTCTATGATATCAGGATTACTTTAGAAGGAGTAGAAGGGCATTAGCTAGCTGAAAGGTGGTACAGATTGGTCTAACTGGACTGGGTCTCACAGTCCAACTATTGAGAGTGTTCAATGTGCACACTTGTGGCCTAGCCAGCTTAGCAGGGGGTGATAACTCAAATGTCATTTCCTTTCATGTGGAATAAAGTTGTTAAGAAAGATAACATTGGTCATGTTTCATTTAAGGATAGAAATCCCTGATATGTGTGTGTGAGAGAGAGAAACCCACCTCCTGCCACTTCCTCTCCTTTCATTCATCATTCCAGTTCTCTCCTTGCTGAAATCTTCTATGCTTTATGTTATAAGGAGTTCCTTCCTAGGCCCCATTTTTCTCTTTGTAAACCATGATAATAAAACCTAAACCAAACCAGGTTTCAGTGAATATTAAATAATATAAGACAGTGCTTGGTGTGGTGCCCAGGACTTCTTTGTGACTACTCCATATCATGCATGAGGTCTTGAGTGATTCCCACTAACAGATACTATCTCTATCTCCTAGAAACTCCCACCACTCTTTGTACTTAGTTACAGCAACTACTGTTTTGTGGTTATTTGAGTAATCATATTCTATCCTCTATTAGATCATAATCCTTGAGAGCTAAGACAATTCTCTAATAGCATCCCATATAGTAATTTGCATAGAGTAGACACAGTATATGAGTTGAATTATGCTTCTAGATTTTGATAGGCTCAGGGCAACCTCAGTGTTCCATCAAAACTACCTTTATATGTTATTTGAAAAGTACTATATTCTTTTCAAAAAGCCTTTTTGTTAAATATATCATTTGAACTTTTTGAATAATTTTATGAAGCATGTATGAATTCATAATGGTTTCATTTACAAATTAACTTAATTGTATCTGGTAGAGTTTAAATGATGCCCCTAGGATCCCACAGTAAGTGAGTAGCAGAGTTGGACTAGGCAGTAGATTTCTGGACCTCTTTCTGTATCACACGACTGTGCTAGGTGCTAGGGCTATACTCGTGAATGAGGTGGACTGAACTGGTTCCTCCTTTCACAAAACTTACTCTCTAGATCAGTGATTTTCAACTGGGGCAAATTTCCTCCCCCACCCACCACCACCAACGGACAACTGGCAATGTTTGGGGACATTGAGAATTTTCACATCAGGGTGGAAATTATTGTCATCTAGTGAGTAGTGGCCAGGGATGCTCTTTACCTACTATAGTGGACAACAAAGCATTGCCTTAACCCAATCATCAGTAATTTAGAGGTTGAGCAACTCTGCCCTAGATTTAACTCCAGAAAGAATGGTAAGAAGTATCCATAGGGAACAAAACCAGATAAGGGTAAAAGGATCGGTTTGGAACTGATGCCAGAGATTTAAATGCCAAGTTGAGGAGTATAAACTTTATCCTATAGGTCAAGGATTGGCAAACTATGGCCAGTGGGCCAAATCTAGCTGATTTTTTTTTGTAAACAAAGTTTTATTGGAACAAACTCATTCCTATTTGTATATCTGTGGCTGCTCTTGCACTATAGTGGCAGAGTTAAGTAGTTGCTACAGAAACCATATGTCCCAAAAAGCTGAAAATATTTACTATCTGGCCTTGTGTTGGGTTGAATGTTCTGCTGTTGCCATCATAAAATCTATAATATTTTTTTGAATAAGGGGCCCAGTAATTTCATTTTAGCTGGTTGTGCAAATTATGTAGCCAGTCCTGTGTGAGTGTTCTAATCTGTAAATAAATAAGTTCTGCACATATTACAGAGCTATAAAAAAAGTTTGATTCCTCAGTTACCTTGGCTCTCACTTATTTGCAGGGACATGCTATACTTTTTTTAAAAACACCCATGTTTGTGCCCTTTGGAAGTAGAACTTGAAAGCCACCATAACAGTACTTTCCACGGAACAGTGCTATGCTTCTGTGCAGCTACCAGGTAGGAAATTAATAATTACACAGCAGAGAAACAGGGTACCAACACCATACTTTCTGCTTAGGAAATGGAATCACCCAATCCAAGTTCAATGTGGTTACCTTCAGCTAAAGAATTGAGACCAGAAGAACCCCTGCAAGAACCAATGTCCCTCTTCCTATAATGGAACTGTCAGTAGTTCAGGTACTACTAGATTGGTGTATTAAAGAGTTTGAGGTTGTACCAAATGGTTTTAGGCATAACTGCTGTGGTTTATTGAATTATAAAATGTTGATTAGATAATGAGAAGGTTATTTCCTTTCCAAATCCTTTTCACTCATTCTTATTACTGTAGGAAGGAAGACTTAATTGGTCTTTCACATGTCTATATTACTTGCTAAATGCCATTTTAAACAAAGAGAGAGCAGACCTCAAGCCCAGAGCCTTTAGTAGGACATGTAAACTTTAGATAAATTTTAATCTGTTTTGCCTTTTTTATTGTATATTTTTTATACAATTATCTTCCATGCATGATAAATGACACTGGTTCCAAATTACAGTAATGATATAAAGGTTTATTTTTAAACATATAGCCCTTTAAATAAAAATGCAAATCTGCTAGAAATATTAAAGGCAAGCAGTACAAATGGTCCACAGATGTACCTTAAACTGTGAAGTTGATATAGGCATGGTCACAGTATTAATGAGACTGCTACTGTTATTAGTAAGAGAGCTTTATTAAAGGAAGCCTGATCCTAGTCGGAGGAGAGCCATAGAAGTCCACCTTGTGCGTCATCAGCCTGCAATTCATATATGTTTTGGTTATTACTACCCATAAAGCATATGCTATTCTATTTGGCACTCACTCAATAGAAGGTCATAAAAAAAATCACACTGCACGGAATAAAGCAAAGTAAAACAAATACTATAAACCTAAAGAAGGCAAACAAGCAAGGATGATAATGCAACTAACCTTATTAGTCAGAAACCTGCTTACCTGAAAAGGTCAACATACACTCACCATTTATAAATATAAATGTGAAATTAGCTATGTAAGAAAATGGGAAAAGGGGTACCATACTAATAATAATAGAAAGAGGAAGCCACTTTATTTTAATAATAGCTAATTTGATCAGAGGATCATCTTATAAGGGTAATGGAAAGGAAATTGGTTGGTTTGAAATAACCACAATGTAAAAATGATATATATTGAACTATGAACAATGTATTTACATTAAAATAACATTTCTTTGCTAAGCCTCTTCAAAAATATTTTCCATTATTTTATTTTAGTTATTCTGAAGATATACTTTAGAGAAGTGGTACTTAATTTCTGCCAGTTAAAACTTCTCCAATTGACATACTAAAAAAGGGACTACGGAGGGTGTTGTTTCTCAAATTTCTCCTTAAAATCTTGGCATTTCTTTTATAAGCTTAGGTCTTGATGTATAATTTAATCGGCATGAATTCTAAAAGATAAGGATTAGTCATCAGAGTTTAATAAGCTAGTTATTCAGTAATTTCCTAAGAATAATAAATATATTTATATCATTTTTTTCAGAAATAGAACAGGTATAAATAAATTATTTTCAAAGTATAAACTAAATATCATTAAATGCATATATTTGACACATTATTGTGACACTATAGTATACAGAATCATTCATATATATGAAAGTAAAACTACACTAATCTAATTTCCTAATCTAGTAAACCCAGAACACACACACACACAGAGTCATGGTGACAAAGTCCATAGAAATGATTAATCATTGAGTATGAAATTTTTTTTTCCATTATGGCAATCAAAAACAATATCATCAGGACTTCTAGGCTGAAAAAATATAGATTCCCCCTCAGTGTTCGCATAAGAGGCACAGCAATAGAAGGTATGTTCCTCAATCAATCAAACAACAAATATTTACTGAATGCATATTATACAGGTGACACTTGGACGTTCACAGTGAATGCAACGATTGATGCATGTGGAGTTACTGTTTAGGAGCTTACAGTCCAGCTACACAGTCAAAACACAAACATGAAATAGAAGACAGCATCAGCTAGAAAATGCCAAATAAATGGCAACACGTTGTGTTTGAGAGTCCAAGGAAAGCCCTCCCCAAATGAAAGCAGACCATTTTGGCCCTGTTTACATCTATTATGGAGAACACAAAGTCAGAATACTAACCCAAATGTTTTCACATTTTTCCTCTCACTAAAGCTTACATATTATCTATAATATATTGAACCAAAGAAAACAAACTCAGAAATGCCGTTATAAAGAAGAAAAGACAACATTTGCTTCTGGTCCCAGAGATATATCCATTCTAAAAGCTGATATCTTGTTAAATCAAAGAGACTATTCTACAACAGTGGGATTTGGCATGAAGGCTGGCGGAGGAGTGGAAGGAGATTGTTTTGAGGTAAGACGGGCCTTGGTCTTCCTATCTGGCCACCCGGTCACTCACAGTCAGCCTGTGAGTCAGGCCAGATCTGGTTACCAAGCAGTTTGCTGCTCTGTTGCTTAGTGACTTGAGCCTACAGACCATCATTCCCAGCTGGCTCTTTTGGAGCCAAACCTTAATAGATTTCTGACTTGATCTTTCTCCTCAGAGCTCGTCTTTTATGCCTTTTTCTCTGAATGATTAAATATAAAATTATCCTCTGATTGGCTTTGTTTTTATGTGTCTCATTTAAAAACCACTGTGAATCAGACTGTTCTCTGTTGACTCTGAAACCCTTCTTTACAAAAGACATATATTTCTCCTATACATACATATGTTTTATCAGAAAGAAGGATGTCAATTTTCATGAAAGCTACATGTATAAAAAAATAAACTAAAGACTACACACCAAGAAAGAATTCTGTCTCTCCCTTTCTTTTAACCACCATTTTGTAAAATATTTGCATATTCATTATAATAGCTTGAACATACATGCAAGGTAGAGGAATAATTGTGAATGGGACTCTTAGACCACAGAAAGGTGATGCTGAAGAAAAAACACTGGATAGAGAGTTCGACAGGCCTGGGTTCAAGGTTGAACTCTAATGGTTTCAGGCTGTATAGCTGAATGACCTTGGTTATGGAATAATTTTTCTGAGCCTCAGCATCTTCATATGTGAAGTATAACTCATAATACTTAAATTCAACCTCTGTTGTTTTGAAGGATTAATGCGCACAAAATATCTTACACATAGCAGGAACTAAATCATTGATGACTACATTATAATAAATCTAAGGTTATGAAGCTATATTAATATGAACCTAAATTTTTTATTCTAAAATGAAATGACATGTTTTCTTCTCATAGCAACTCTTCAGGAATTCATTTTGAGAATAACTGCTTTATCTGAAGTACTTAAAGTACATTTATATCCTTAAAATTGCACATGAGGCCGGGCGCGGTGGCTCACGCCTGTAATCCTAGCTCTCTGGGAGGAGTTCAAACCAGCCTGAGCAAGAGCGAGACCCCGTCTCTACTATAAATAGAAAGAAATTAATTGGCCAACTGATATATATATAAAAAATTAGCCGGGCATGGTGGCGCATGCCTGTAGTCCCAGCTACTCGGGAGGCTGAGGCAGAAGGATCGCTCGAGCCCAGGAGTTTGAGGTTGCTGTGAGCTAGGCTGATGCCACGGCACTCACTCTAGCCTGGACAACAAAGCGAAGACTCTGTCTCAAAAAAAAAAAAAAAATTGCACATGAAATGATATTTCTGTTTTGTATATATAATAAAAGGGACTGATCTGTTAAGATGATATAAAATTGAGGATCTAGTACAACAGAATTTTAAATTAGAATTTTTATAACAATCTATAGATTTTTATATTTTCTACCTAAAACCATGGCTTCCAGATGGCGTCCTAAAGCAAATACCACCAACACTTTTATTATGAAGGTTCTGAAACCTTTGTATGAGTCACAGAATTATTAAAGAACCCTGTCTTCTGTTTTTATCCCAGCAGCCTCTACCGCACTCTCCTCAGGAGCAAGTTGGAACTTGGGTTTAATTATTTATCTTAAATGAACTGTAGTTTGTTATCACTTTGTAAATGTAATTAGTAATTTTTTTACTTGCAAATATCAAATGCCTTTATAACCATGTGACTTATGAATAAAAAGCCTATAGTTCAAAAACATTGAGTAAATAAGGTCAAATATTAAGTGGCCAGCAGACCTGGAAATGTGATTCTTAGACCACATGGCTTCAAATATACTGAAACAATCACAACTTTAAAAACATAATTTTTTTTCAAAAGGCAAACCATTAAAAAATGACATATTTTTTTTGCTAATGGCGATAATAAAGCTTCTTACTGAAACTGCTACTTGAAAAACAAATTTGGTTGCTTCCTGTCTAAGAAAAATAAGTACTGAAACTTATTCAGTTATCTAAACTCATAGAAGCTTTTTATTTATAGAGACATTTATACAAATAATAATTTTTATTTCACCACGAGTAGCAATGGCTTCAGCTCATAGAGATAGGCTTCATATCTTTTTCTTTAAGGGAAATGTCAATGATCATGGGAAGTGCACAGTGTAATAAGCTGAGAGGTCATTCAATGTTTTCTTCATTTTTTTCCTTACTAATTGTCATAATTTAATCTTAGTAATTTCTTTAATATTACAAGTCAGTTAACATGTTCTTTAAGAAGAATGTCTTCTTGGGGTCTTCTGATTTGAGGAAGGGCAACAATGTCTTTCAAATGCCTTTCAAAAGTTAGAGACACCCTCTACTTTAAGCGCCTCCACCTCCCATGATTGCCACTGAGGACAACAGTCAATTACGCCATGGCTAAAGACTAGAGCTGACTGGCTCCGCCCAAATGTGCCAGTACTTCCTGGTGTGCTCCTCAGGCGATTTCCTCTGGAAACTTCCCCCACGTCCTTTACCTGCAGCCCTCCTCTGGGTTCCTAGCTCCCAGGAGAGTACCAGCAATGCTCTTCTCTGGGTATTGTCACCATAAGAGACAGACAAGAGATGACTTTAAAGTGGGGTAAATGGAGGAAAGATGAAACAAGTGAGAGACAGTCCTTGAATAGAATCACTAAATAATGGCTTTGAAAATCTGTGTGTGTGTGTGTGTGTGTGTGTGTGTGTGTGTGTGTGTGTGTGTTTAACCTACAAACTCTAAATGGCTGGATTTCTCCTCTACAGGTTACAAATGGTTTCTTTCTCCTTCTGTGACTTGAAGAAAATTTATATTTCTCTCTTAACAACAATAAAAGGAACTACAGTTGCTGAAGAAATCATGACTCAAGAAAGCAAATGTTTACTTTAAACATTACCAACTTTATGTCTATGCCAATGCCTGATAAAGAGAAATTTATAACAAACAAAAATTATGGCCAAAACCATTTATCTAGCTACACTTAGAGTATGATACTGAAGACTATAGTAACAATGATCTAAAATTAGATAAACAATTGACTTTTTAGAGGCAAATCAATGTACATTCATGCATCACTTAATGACTAGGATAAATTCTGAGAAATGCTTCGTTGTGGTCTATGGTGTCACAGGGGTCCTCAAACTTTTTAAACAGGGGGCCAGTTCACTGTCCCTCAGACCATTGGAGGGCTGGACTATAGTTTAAAAAAAAACTATGAACAAATTCCTATGCACACTGCACATATCTTATTTTGAAGTAAAAAAACAAACAGGCAAAAACACCCACATGTGGCCTGCGGGCCATAGTTTGGGGACACCTGGATAGCCTATTGCTCCTAGGCAATAGCATGTTACTATCCTGAATACTGCAGGCAATTTTAACATAATGGTTAAGTATTTGTATATCTGAACAGATATAAACATAGAAAGGGTAGAGTAAAAATATGATATCAAAGATAAAAAATGGTAAACTCTTTAGGGCACTTAACCATGAATTGAGCCTGCAGAACTGGAAGTTGCCCTGTATGAGTCAGCGAGTGAGAGATGAGTGAATTGAGTGAACATGAAGGCCTAGGGCATTGCTGTACACTATTGTAGACTTTATAAGCATTGTATACTTAGGCTACACTAAATTTATTAAAAAATTCTCTTTGTTTCAATAATAAATTAACTTGAACTTACTATAACCTTTTTACTTTATAGAAGTTGTTTGTTTTTTTAACTTTTTGACTCTTTTGTCATAATACTTAGCTTAAAACATAAACACATTGTACAGCTCAACAAAAATATTTGATTTCTGTATATCTTTCTTCTATAAGCATTTTTATTTTCACAATTTTAGATTTTTTTTTTTACTTTTTATATTATTTTGTTAGAAACTAAGACACAAACACACACATTAGCCTAAGCCCGCACAGGGTCAAGATCACCAGTTTCATTGTCCTCCACCTCCACATCTTGTCCCACTGAAAGATCTTCAGGGGCAATAACACACAGGAAGCTGTCATCTCCTATGCTAGCCAGGCCTTCTTCTGGAATACCTCCTGAAGGAATTGCCTAAGGCTGTTTTACAGTAAACTTTTTTTAAATGATTTTTATAACTTTTTTTATAAGTTAAAAATACTCTATTTACACTCTAAAATAATGATAAAAAGTATAGTATAGTAAATATATAAAGCAATAACATAGTCATTTATTATCATTATCAAGTATTATATACTATATATAGTTATATGGGCTGTACTTTTATATGACTGTCAGCAGAGCAGATTTGTTTATACTAGCATCTCCACAAACGCATGAATTATGTTTTGTGCCATGAGTTCACTAGGTGATAGGAATTTTTCAGGTCCATTATAATTTTATGAGACTGCCTTTGTATACACAGTCCATTGTTAATCAAAACATCTTTATGTGTGCATAACTATATACTGTTTGGTAGTTTAAATGAATGATCCAGGTCTATGTGCATCGATATAGCTCAATTGCCATAATATGGAGTAATAAAGAGGATGTTGCTAAGGGATATATATATATATATATAAATGAATATATATATATGAGAGATATATTCTTTGCTCTTTTTCACTGTATAGTATGGTATAGTATAGTATGTATGAAATGGTACATACACAGAGCACAGATATATGAAGTTAAAATATGAAGACATGCAAGGAAGAACATACTGACTTCAGGATCCTCTGGGAAGACAGGAGAATAGGATGAGGATGGCTTTAGCAGTTTCTATAACATTTAATTCTTTAAAAAAAGAACTGATACAAACAATGGTAAAATATAGACATTTTAAAATCTAGGTGGTGGACATATGGCTATATTACAGAAATATGAAAAATATATAACTTAAAAGTGATTATAATATTAAATTACTTTTACAAAGAATGTGTGACAAAAAAACCAGAGGTTTTGTGATTTAAGTTAGACCAAACAGTAACTTTTAAGTTATCAAAGACTGAAAACCGTCAGTTCTAAATGTTCTTCCATGACTTTATTTAGTCCTAATTCCCCCAAAATGTGTTTAAAATTTAATGAGGAGAAAAGTGTAAAAAATATAAAGAATTTTCTGACTGATTTTCCTAAAACAAACTAGTAATGGAAGCTTTCTTCACCAGAAATTCCACTGACCTTGGAGTTCCTGCTGATGTCAGAGGGAATCCCCTACTCAGATGAAATCTTAGTCATGTATACAATCAGTAGACTACAAAGTATCATATAGTAAATGAAAATAGCAAAATGGAGTAGTGAAAAGCAGAGACACAAAGGGTTCTAATCCTAACACAAATACCAGTGTTCCATACATATTCGCTAGTGATATAATGACTA